TAACCTGAGCACATACACTACTCCTCACAATAAACCTTCAAATATATCTCATGCAATATAAAGCAATTTCCCGAGGTAAAACTAATAACGCGAACAATATTTCAAATTTGTAAGGATTCACATACTTTCTGAAAACTATCGCGGAGACAAGGTACTCGGCAGAATGTAATATCAATTCTTATGGAAGAATTCAGTTTTTTCAGTTTGATATGTACAAAAATTATGTCCTCTTCGGTAAGTTAGATTACGCTGAAAGGTATGTCGCTGATATTTTGGTATAGTGTATAGCAAAATGTATCAGAGACAGAACAAACTTTCTATTTGATATGGTATGTTCTGTTCCTTAATTATTAGTAACAGCACTATTGCCCAACAAATTCCCACTAAACTCATGATGAATTCTCATCCAATATTTTGTCTGGATCGCCAATATTGTCCTTTATAAGTTCCAGGAATATCAAAGAGCTATTTAGATTGACCACAAAATCATTTAAACACTCCTGTAATGAGTGTTCCCAACTCTGCTATGGCACCTCAGTGTATAAAGTTGCCATAAAGATATAAAAAATTCCGGGCATTACTCCTCATTTCTTTTGTAACAAAAATCCTCCAGGCCAGGGCGTTGTTTTTTTAGTGAATAATGGCACCTGTCATATTCCGTTACAGGTCATACGACTCCCCACAACTCCTCCACAGAAAAACTTCACGGCCTACGTCAAACAGAAGAAGACTGATACAGCTGACACTCCCTCGCACATTTCTCAACGAGAAATGTAACGTTTTTGATTTTCTGGTGCGGGGCTGTTTTCAAGGTAGCTAGGACGCTTTAGGGCATCCCTGGTAGATATCAATTTTTAAACAGACGGTTTCTTTACTGAAATAGCAGACGCTTGACTTTTCCGGGTTCCGCTCAGAAAGCTCTAATGATTAAGATCCGTACATAATAATATTTCATACAAATATACTCATATATAGGACGATTATAAAAACGGTAAAGGATTTAATGGAGAGAAACGATATAAAGGTATAAAAGCTACAGCGACCAATCATAGTATCCACAAATGACTTGAATCTAGGGTTCAGTGTACGCTACAAAAATGTTTTCTAGAAGTCATATCCCCTTTTTTGTGCAGTAAAGTAACTTTAGCGTGAGCTAAACTTAAAACTGACCTATGCTTATCCACCGAACTATCTGCGTTCCTTCATTGTTTTTCAACTACTGAAACTGAGTTCACCCTGTGATTCAGTATCATAATAAACTAGTTTAGTTTTGTCTTCTCTCAAAAGCTACTACAATATTTTCACTCATTCTATAGTCAGTCGCAGATAATTTCTCTTATCTGGAGGACGTTCCCTCTCAGAAACAGCAACGTTTAAAGTATCAAAGCTAACTAAAACGCAAAAAAGAAATTGGACAGAAGTACTCACTATTTAGACTCCAGATACTGTCCTGCCTCATGTTTTGCTCGAAATACCTTTTTAGCCGTTCTGTTTATGTGCACAAGTTTGTTAATTTTTCCCTAAATTTGCAACAACTAGGACTGTCTAGGTATTGTTCCATGACGACCTCGATGGCCTTTGTACAGTATAAATAAACATACGCATCCCCAGACGAAAACATCCAGGAAAATGATCTGTATTCACTCGCGAAGTGTCAGTAGGGTCCTGAATATGATCACCATAAACTAACATCAAATCAATAACTTCGGTAATACTACACGGGAATGTGTAAATTTCGATTTCTTTTCAAATCCATTTGCAGATAAACAACTAGGGGCTTAACCTAGCCTGAGTGGCATCTGAATTAAATACTTACTGCGGTCATACCTTTTCACGCTGAATTCGTGGCCAAAATGGCCCATTTAAATTCTTTTGCAACGGTCATATAAAGGTTTGGTATATGTATTACTGAGAAAAATTGATTATTGTTACATGAACTATTCGCTGTGTAGGGTCCTCCATTTAAGGCTACCCTGCACCTTCGACGCGTTTATGTCCTGCTGCGATTCATAGCCTGAGCTCTAGCGTATCTTATGATACACGACTTTCCTATGTCTTGACTGATACCGCAAAATAAAAAAGAAAACTGATATCTGCAACGTGAGATCGCTGAAGAAAATGCTTAAGGACATATAAAAAATCAAAACAAGGACTACAACTGGAAATATCAGGTGATTACCTTTCTCCATATATATAGTACATTGCTCATTGATTTCATGCTTTCAACCTTACTTCAACGCTCGCCGATACAGCTCTGCATCAGGTAGTATGTAATTTGAGCTGGATTGTGACTTAGGTGAGGATTTAATGATACTAGAAACCAAATTTTAGGTGTTGGATCCCTTGGTGAGTGACTATGACTAACACTCGGTTTAGCAATACCCGACACCTTTTTTGCTGATTTTGTTAGCATTTTCACGGTAAGAGTAAAATTCAGTTTTTCACAAGTCGGGTATTAAAAAACAGTATGGCAGGTGGTGAAACTGTGTAGTAGTCATAGAAGGAAGCATGCTGCCGATTATTGAACTGTTTTGTAATGACACAGATAGTATGATTCGCTGTAACATATATGCCAATTTGGAAACTTCCAGTGCTTCCCCCGTATATAGTGGACCATCTGGACGCCATTTTTGTGTTGCCTTGTGTTAAAACGGCATTTCGCTCATTTCAATACATGCCGGGCACATTCCGGCTTAAAATCAAAAACTCGTTACGATGGTGCGGGCGGATGTCCCTCGGGAAGCAGTCACTCTATACTTTCCTGGATTCCTGGAGGGCGTATCTCCGCCTCCTCTTTTTCACAATACGTCCGTCGACACTGCCTCCAGCGGTGGCTCGCTGTATTAGAGACGCGAACGCATTGAAGCCCCTTTGGTTGCCAACGTACTGGATTGATTTGCATCCGGGATAAATTAAGCCCCGCTCACACTTGAAAGTTACTGCCCAAATTCCGTACCCTGAATTATGGAGGCTAATTCTCGTCAATCAAATATAAATAATCATTCTACGTATCAGACTAGTCGATTAAATTACGTAGCAAGACACCACTAAAGAACTCCTTACGTTATATTATGTACCCAAGAAAGCCAGAGGAAGTAAACAGGACAATAAATCACATTCCACAGCTACGATGTTTTCTCTTAGTACTTTCATAACTCATTGCGAACTTCCTTATTGTGCTATTAAGTCAGAATTGCTGCATAAAGAACACATATCTCCAACCTATGTTTTCTGTAGCAAGCAAATACTAATAAAAATGTCATTAGCAGAAGATATATACAGTCCAATCTAGGATGCTCGGAAGCAGCACATGTTTTGCTGGAACATTTGTAAAAAGTATGATTTACGGTTTTAGTGATGATACGTTTTAGGTTCGTACGAAAATCAAATGATTACTTGTGAAGGTTACGTTAGGCTTTGAATTGAGATAGAGCAATTCCAGTTCTTGTGCTACTGGTCAAATGAAGATTTTAGATATTCTTACCTTTATTGCGAACCATTTATTGAGAGAATACGCAAACTGCACGTATTGCTATGATGAGGAGGATACTCTTGAGCATATACTAGGATATAATAGATCGGTTGACTGCCAGTGGCATCTGGAACTAGCGCCAGGCGGGAGGCTGACTGCTAACAATATTGCCACGCATATACTCGTAGATGAGGGAAAATGAATTGAAATGCAATCACTGGTGAGAAGGATGGTGCTGAGCAAGGTATGTGATAAGAGAAGCAGACAGAGAAACCACGAATAGATTACTTTGTCTGCTGGGTATGTTCATACATAAAAGTGTATGTACAGAGGAAAAAACGGATTAAGACAGATAATTTTTTTAATTTCACCCCGACGCTGCCTACCATAATGAAATGCTGTAATCTCTGGAAATTTTCTTCTTTAGAGTGGCTATGGAAGCATTCCGCTGGAAGAAAAAATAGTGCGCGCACAAATTTCAACGATCTCGTTACCGGGTAACCACCCAGGCCTCTCTACCAGAACATTTTAAAGATGACTGTTCACACTGTAGCTTGTCTACCCCCCACAACCAATTTTATGTTTTCTCTTTGATATAAAAAAGTAATTTTCCATGGGTTCTCAACGCTTTACACGACCTCGTTCGCTTCTCCTTTGAATATTTTCCGGCTGAGTCAAACACAAGAAAGTGCTAAATCGGAATTTCCCCTCACTTCCAATACCAGCATGCTGGCACCACCGAAAATCAAAAACTCGTTACAAGTCTCCCAAGGGGAAAAAGAAAGGATATAAATGAATTTGTGGGCCCTAACACCACATCGAACAAAACACCTGTCATGACATAACTTACAAGCCCAAAATATGTTAATAATGCGGAATTCAAAATGTTATTTTGTTCCGATTAGCCAATATTAGATTATTAGTAGCTGGAATTCATTATGTACATGAACACAGCTTTGAATCTCTTTCATTAAAGAAAAGAAGAACTGATTTAGTTCAACTGTATTTCCCGCTAGAGGAATCAGCCGATACGACTTGATTTTCATTCGGCTAGCACTAGCGATGGGCGATTTCGCGTATTCATTGACGTTTAGATGTAATTCATGAGCCGTACTCATAAAACAAAGGACATCCTTATACTTGCAAATTTTGAAGGAAATCCTCCAGATGGTATTTATAATAATTTGTAGTAAATTCTTTTGCTTTTTGAGTATAAGCATATCCTTCAAAGCAGTGACATAAGTAAAAGGATATTCATAATCTTCACCTTATACTTGGCAAGGAAGCATATCCTTCAAAAATTCTGAGTGTGATCAGTAGTAGACTCAACTTCGTAACGAGAGGTGGTTAAACGATGATGGCGGAAATTGTGGAAGTTGGGGATGTTAAAACGTACAAACCTCGTTTACCTTCACTGGGTCGTGACTTATTATATCGGTTCGACGAAGCAAATGTACAATGGCTTGCGGACAGATTTTTAGTCGAGAATGAGGAAACTCGAGGAGGAGCACCTTCATGTATTCATAAAATGAAGATATGTCTACGCTATCTCGGTGACCCTGGATATCAACAAGGTATTGGTAAGGAACTTGGTGTTAGTCAAGCAACGGTATCTCGGACTGTGGACAGAGTTGTGAACAGCATATTTACACAGTCGAACGAATGGACCAAGTTTCCAACTACCAAACATGAGCTGACGGAAGCCAAGGGGGTATGGCAAAGCATGTATAAATTTCCGACAGCAATTGGTGGTACACATATAGGAATCCTGAAACTGAATCGCCATGGAGATATCAACCGAAAAGGAAACCTACTTTAAATGTGCAAGCCACTTGTGATGCCAAAGAGATGTTCACAAGTGTTGATGTTAGTTGGCCTGGATCAGTGCATGATTCCAGAATATGAAGAAATTCACAGACTAGATCACAACTAATAAATAAGGCAAATGTTGTACTATTTGGCGATGACGGTTATGGTATTGAGCCATGCCTTATGACTCCCTTCAGAAATCCTACTCCAGGTGCAGAAATAAATTATAACAAGCTTTTAAAACAAGAAAGAGTTATAACTGAACGCTGTTTCGGCCAACTGAAACTCCGGTTTCTTATCCTACAGTATGTTTGCCGCGTAAAAATGGAAAATGTGCCGAAAATAATTATTGCTTGTATTGTACTCCATAATGTTACGAAGAGCTTGGGCGATCCTGACTTTGAGTTAGTTGAACAAGATCCAGATAAAGATGAAGTAAATCATGAGAATGACGAACTTCCTCTCCGCCAACTAGGTCAACAAATAAGAAGAAACTTGAGTATTATAATAAATAGTTTGACTGATTAAAGTGTATTATAAGTTATAATAAGTTTTAGTTCCGTGAACATCATAAGTTACAAGTAGCTTCTGACTCTGCATCATTTCTAATTTCGTTTTATACTACTCTTGTTGTAAACTACTTGTTTGGTACTGCTGTAATGGCACTAGACGCTGCAGTTCTTTCGTATTTCTCTGTTGCTAGTTTTCTTTTTGGTGGCAATGTCTTCTAAATTGCTGGCGCTGTAATTGTTTGCTCACTGCGCTCGGTATATAGTTCACTTCTTTCTTCTTGCACACTACCAGCCTGAATGGGTCCTCTAAATTTCACAATTGTAGGATTACAGTCACCTTGCATAGCTTCCAGCAACTTTCTTTCCCAATCTAACAATTTAATTGCTTTATTACCATTTTTTTTAGATCTGTTTTTTCTTCAACCTTCATTTCATGTTGTTGATTTTTTTAATAAGCCTTCAGTATCTGATGGTTTACCGAATGTTGATTCGTATTTTTTCCACATCTTCTTCAAGGCATCGTCCTTTCTCATTTTTATTTTTGGAACTTGTGACTTTTGCAAAATAATGGGAGCATTGACAATTTCATTTGCGATGAACTGCAGGTCGTTGCCATTATTTTCTATAGTTTCCTCATCACTTGAGGATGACATGCTTATTAATTTGATAAAAAAACTGTATCCAGTAAAAATACGGAACGGTCTCTGTAAGCTCTAGAATACAACTGTCAGTGATGCTGAGTGAACGAACCCCACGTCAACTACAAGCTGAAACAAGTCAGGACATGTCGCTCAAGATACAAATATCAGTCAACCTTTTACTTCTTTTTGGAGGATGTCCTCGCGAGTAGGTATAAGGTAATCATTATGAATATGAAAACAAGGATATGCTTATACTACTACCTTTTTCTCCGAAGCAAGACCTTATACTTTTAACTTATGCTTCCGATGATATGCTTCTCTTTTATGAATGCTTCTCAATGTGTAGAAAATGTATACAATGCATATACAATGTAAATAATATATATATATATACAATGTACACAATGATGAAGACACAATAGCAATAAGTGAGGGAGTACCCACAAACCTTAAAACACCAGTAAACCGGCCAATCATAAAAACAATATGGTTGAACTCACTAAAAGTAAAATTCATGAACTTGAGTGCGTTTTGTTCAAAGATGGCAGAAAATATGACATCGAGTGCTATATCCGTAAAAAGAGTTGCCTAATTCAATTAGATAAAACTTAAAATCGCACAGTTAAGTTGACTTGTTTCGTAATATGCGGCTACCCATGAGTTACTTTATCAGTTTCTACTTGCCCCAAATCAAATCAGATAAGATAGCAAGAGGTTGTAGTAGCAAAGCATTTCTTACTAGTTTCGAATGGTCAATAACGGCATTGCCAACTTAATATTGACATTATGGTGCTGGCGACGCTGAACGATTTGTTTTCTGAAATGTACAACATTTTGTTTTAGAAATGTTTCTGATTAATTTGAAAAGATAACTTTGTATACATAAATAATAGCGTCCTAACGTAACTATTATTTATTTTGTATACATTATCTACATTATATACATGGATATCTAGACGTATACGCAATGCGCCCATCACTATATAGCATATGACCATATAGTTCATGTCAAACTAATAGTACTGCAGACTAATGTTATTATTCTCACATCTAAAGGAGGTCTAACCATTGTTGCAGTTGTAGAATCACATTCTACAGATGGAGCATAGAGATACTTATAACTGAGTCTAGGAACTATCATTATGTCATAGCCTTGACGCGTTTCATTCTTTGTCACTTTTCCCTCATAAAGAAAGGTGGCTGCTAAAGAAAAGCACAGCACACTCTCAAAGTACATCAGAAATGTTATTTATCAGTCTTGGTTAACAGTTTATTTCACTACAAAAACTGTCTGTTGCCTAGAATACAGATAAATAAAATATATTGCCGTTGCCATTTGTTATGTACTACAGAGGTGGCCGAAACGATAGTAGATCTTCATTCAACATCTGTGTCTGTAAGACATCCCATAGAAACTGTTTTTGTAGTCAATAAGACATAGTAAAGTTATGTGTGCTAGGTGTCTTCTTCTACATCCCCAGCCTATTCAAAGTATACGAGTAGTTTATTCACTGAAACAAAGCTGATACGTCATATTTAGTGTATACAGTTTTCTGTGTCAACAACGGCTGTTGTTTATTTGTGGTTTACTTCAGTTCTTTTTGCCTCAACATTGGCAATGTTATTTTATAAAAACAGTTTTTTTTCAAAACTTTGGGGTGTCCTATTAAGCATTTGCCAAAATGCCGAAACCTCTGGGTCGACAAGCAAAAGAATTCATCATTTCTTTGACGAAATATTTTGAGACCGAATGAGATCATGGAGCTCCAATATTGCCTTTGCAGTCCGCAAGAGAGGTATTAGGTAGTAAATATATTACACTAGCTAAAGTAGATTTTGTAAAAAATCCTAGGATCTAATAGTTTCAATTGATGTGGCAACCATGTACGTCACTGTCATTATTTGCTTTTGCGACGTAACTGCTTTGATTCAGTGAATAAACTATGACTGGCTTCTATCCAAGTATCTTAGGAATATTGATAAATCAATATACCTTAGCTGGGCTATAACCAAGGCTGCCTATACCTCAGAAAGGCCACGCAGCCATCTTAAGTATATAGCAGGTAGGAACGTCAGTCCAGAGCAGTAATGAGGAATTCAGACACTTAATTTGCTAGTAAGTTCAGACCTATGCAGACAGTAGCGTTTGAGTGACTGGTTTAATAGCAGCTGTGAGGGAACTGTTGCAAAATAATCCTTCCTGGTTGAATTGTCATCGTTAGGTTCCCGAGCAAATCCTTCCCTTAAAATGTCATGCCCATGGTCTGGTCGCAGGAAGCAGTTGCTCCAAACATTTCAAATTAATTAGAAAATGCCTCCGGAAAGAGAAGGAACGGCACCACCAACTCACAAAGATTTCATCCAAATTAAATGTTCCTAAAAGCTAGCAGCTACCGTGACAATAGCTATTATTGTACAGTGAGAAGTTGGTGAATAAAACATTTGCTTTTAAATAGTTTGGATATAACTTTGAGAGAAGAACAAAACGGCCGGACAAACTTCGCTCTCTTTACTCTGCGACCTTCTCTCTTTTTGTTCCGTAGCTGTGAAAACGGTTCCGTACAAGGTTTTAGAAACAATAATATTGCCATAGACAGCACGGAATTATAGGTAGAATGGTTCTGCATTGCTGTCAGGCAAGTTCAAAATATATCATTTTAACATACCAAAAACGAGATCAACTATAGATGGAAGAGAAACCCCCACTTGTTATAAGGATAATGGCTTAGGGAGTGATTTTTCTATGTAGGAAACTTTAAAAAAGTGATAAAACCACGCCCACCTTCTATGTGTTGTTTTACACTGTCACTCTTGAGGATTGACATCCTGCAGAATACAACAAATTTCAGCCTTGGACACAGTGGAACACTTCTCAAAGGTGGCGCCGGTCATCTAGCCAAGATAGTGGCCTCAGGCTACCACACCGACCATGAGACTGAAATCGATATTAATAAGTTACTGATAGGGACATGGGACGACAGTGGGCATCCCGTCCGTTCCAATTAAACCTGACCTTCAGTCTACTGATATTTTCCATGAATTTTGCCATTCCTCTTGATTGTTGCTATCCAAAACAATACCAGGACAAGCAGATGACATAGTACTTCAAATGCGGATATAAAGCTGCAAAATAAATATTTAGTAAATCCTTAGTAAACGTCATGTTTTTCGTGATGAAAAGTGTGTCGTGGTAAGACCAGATCGTAGCCTGCAATAAGCGCAATCATACGTAACACACAGGTGGAAACACTTCTATCTACTTTGAACCTCTGATGACTGGTCTATATGTGCATATTTTGCATGAATCCTGCCATTTCCATTGAGGTCCGCTGTTCAGCAGGAGATCAAAAGTGCGTCGCGGCAAGACCAGACCGCAGCCTGCATTGAACGCGGTCATACGTGACACACAGATGGAAAGATGTCTGTCGGTATGTGTGCAAGCGTTCTCTTTATCGGATATCAACGCCGCTGTATCTACCGCGTTACCGCCGAGCGTCATGCCGCTCCAATTTGTATCGGAATTTCAGCTGGCGGACATTTTAATAGAGTTTGACATCGCCGGACACAATAATTAACAAACAGTTCCTAAACGCGCTATGCCAACCTGTCTGATATGGACAAGCATGCGCCTGTACAGGGTGTTACGACCCTCCATGCTCGAACTTATGAGTTTTGTCTGAGATAGGATTCAACCGTATAGATCCTCACACGATTTTTGGAAGATATGTTAAAATGTCGTATGAAATAAGTAAACGATAACCTGAAAACGTACGACCATGGTAAGCAATTTGTCATACTGGAATTGGCAAAGATACATGTGAAAGACTCATACTTTGACGGGGGGGAAGTGTTTAAGGCGATGAGACAACATTAAAAAACGTATGACCGTGAGCTCACACAAACGTCCATGCATAAATATCAAAAGGCCTTCAGCATAGTTGGGAGATAAGAAAACTACTAAGTCCTTCCTGTCTGACAAGAAGACTTGGAAACTACCTCTGATTGGAAAAGAAGTAAATTGCAGTTGAGTATTTAAGACTCAATGAAGTAGTTAGATTATAGAAGACCATTACAGTCTCAAACAGGTTTTGTCGATTGTTGCTGCGGGAAAGACGATAGCTACCTATTCAGAGCTACCTAATCTCCTTACCCTATGGCAAGCCCAGCTCAGATCTGAGTTTGCATCTGGCCCATCTCACATCGTTAACTAACCGACCTAGCGCCACTTTTCTTCTAGGGCGTTAAGGATGTGGGAGAATATACTATCCTGAATCAGTTTAAAACTGATATGGGTGCCATTAATTTAACGACTGCATCCCTATGAAGATGCTACGTGTTTTTGCAGTGAATGGTATCGCGTTACTATCTCCATAGCTCTAGATAGTTGGAGATAGAAGATGATTAATTTGCCCTACTTTAGGTCGTTGTCCTGA